TCCGTTGGTCCCTCTATCCTGTGGCATTAGTAGAAGAGCAACACAAGACTTATTCCTAAACCTCTGAATCATTTAGATGTTCAATGGCAAGTTTATTACAAGCTCTGTTTTCTTAAATCTATCTGCAAATTGGACAGATTTTATGAAAAAACATTGACAACATCAGCTTTAGTCCAATCAGCAGTTGCTACATGATTATCTTTATTGGAGTGATGTGAGGGTCTGAGTATTTAAAGGTTGTTCTGTTATTCAAGATGGCGTCAATGTCCAAATGTAGCTTTTTCATTGGTCCCCCCCAAATATTTTTAAAACACTGGGTCTCTTTTCTATTCCAACTGTAAGAAAGTTTTACATTCAACAGCCTGCCTTTTGCATTCAGGGTCAAACAGTTGTCAACAAATCTTTTCGTACCCAAAGCTTTCTCCTTTTTAGAACTCAAAGAAATGAGTTCTTGCCCGAACCAGTCCATTTACCAGTTCCCTGCCTGTATATGTGACATCTTGAACAGGGGGACCTTGCGGGTACTATTATAACCCATTATAACATAGTGTGTTACCAGTTCTTAGTGACTGTAGTCCCAACTGTGAGATTGTTTTAAGCGTATTCTCTCTGAAGACATAAGTATAGAAATATTGCCAACCTGCCCCATTCAGTGTCTGTTATAGATGATGTCTCATTACTTCTAATCATGGGAGGACTTTTAAAGTCCTCTTCATATGTTTTTCTTTAGTCTTGATCAAATTGTCACCTTCTCTCTATGTGCTGCACTGGATACAGCAGAGAGGACAATAAAGTTGACTTTGAATATAAGCTTGGTGAAGCTTCAGTGAAGCTGTTACAGACGGTTGTGAAGGTACCTGGAAAAGTTTCAAAACCACAAAGTGACAGATGTTTTTGTGCTTTCTGTGCCTCCAGATAATCCCCGTCAGAGCAGCAGCGTCAGTGTCTACATCCGTCTGCTGGACATCAATGACAATGCTCCCATGTTTGCCTCTGTGTATGAAACCTTTGTCTGTGAGAAAACCAAGGCTGGCCAGGTACTCACACACTTCCTGTGTTAGCTCACTGTGTGCACTTCAAAAGCTGATCAGACCAGAGCAGTCCCAGAGCTGTATAAAGACCAGTGAGTGAGCATCCACAATGAAATGACACCTTACAGCTCTGCCTAATTTTATATAAAACAGATGTTGCTGTAATGATGGCACCCATTGGTTAGTGAAGTCCCAGGTGTGTTTTAATCTGTGAACCAAAGAACGGCTACAAACCTGAGACTAGTGACTGTCACAACGGGACTGAACGGACTCATGCACAGGCTCTTTATTCACAGCAGCACCAGGTGATCTATTTACAAAGTGGGGGAAGGACGGGCTCCGGGGATCCACACACGAACGGGGGAAAAGACGCTGGAAGTCCACACACACTCCGTCCATGCTCCACGCTCCTCCTCATACTCCACAGAAAACACGATAGCTCACTCCAAACCTCACTCAGTCGCTCAGGTAGCACAGGGGTTGGTCCGGGGAATCTGTTCACAGAAACACGAAGGGAAGATCTCTGGGATATGCCCATGGGCGAGCTCTGCCCAGGCAGAGGGAGGAGGGAAAGAGAGGGCGGGAGGGAGCAGGAACAAAATCCAAACAAACACATGCAGCCATACTGAGCCGAGCGGGTAGACACAGGGTCCCTGACAGTGACCGAGTGACTGGTTTCATCAGGAAATCTTCACTAAAGCCATAAATCAAAGGGTGGTTTTCCAAACAGCCCCCGGCTCTCCAGAACAGAAGCGTCAGTCACGTCTTCATCTTTGGGACTCAGACACTGTCTCAGTCTTTTGTACACAGTCGGTGGTTGTGTTTGAAGACAGAGATGTGTCGCTGTCTTAGCTCATGTTAGCTGCTGTAGTGAAGCTTGGTTGTCTTGTGAGTGATTGTTGTCAGTGTTTCTACTCTGAAAACAAGTGAAAGAAAATTCAGATCAGGACAGGTTTTAATAACTGACTGGGTTGAAAAAAGAAATCAGTAGAAAAATCACAG